GTTTGTCGAGGGATTGACTTCACTTGTCTCTTTGACGAGTTCGTAGCTTGGTGGGGAGAATGGCAAAACTCACTGATGATGCCGACGAAACGTTTAAGAATGGACCAAGTCCACTGACTGATGCTTGGAATCATGACAACTACTATAAAGGACGAATTTGGACTAGGTGCGTTCTACTAAGTCGCCATGACAACAAGACCAAGTTGCGACAACGAGGTCAACCCACTTCTAGAGGACATTCTGCTTTGGGCCTATTCTCTGTGGGCGGATTTTTAATAGATACTGCTTGATTTGAGAAGTTTTTTCGTATGCACCACACATATTTGATCCTTGTACAAGTATACGCGAAAGGACTGTCATTCTCTCTTATCATTTGGTTGACTAGGCCTCGTGAGATTTAGGCTTTACAACGAGCCATTGGTTAGCTGAACACAAGGAAGATGTGCTTACGTATGGTTGAATTAGCTGAAATGTAATAAGGGGCTTCACGTTTCCACTGAATTTCCAGCGATTTTATCATCGAGGTTGGACTTCAGTCTCGACTTCGCCTGTTTATGATCAGAATCCCAAGTGGGATTTGAAACAGAATCGTGCGAATCCTAGCAGCTAATAACCACTCCGAAACGAATGCCGGTAGACCACAGAGCATATGTGACTTTCAAGGCAAGCCACGTCCCTCCCAATTGAGATATAAAAGTGGGATTGTTGATGAAGCAAAGATATATTGGCTATTTAAATACCATATTACTTATTAAAGATATGAAGACCAAGATGTTGTGGCCTCTGGTATGGTCTCAGTCTTCTTTCGATTTATAGATCTGGATTGACCTTGTTGTCGCAACTTGATCGTGTTGTCAGGGCGACTTAGTAGAACGCACCTAGTCCGAAGTCGTCTGTCATAGTAATTGTCATGATTTCCAGCATCAGACTTGGTACATTCTCAAACTCGTCTTGGACGAGTTCGTACCTTCGTGCTAAGAATGGCAAAACTCACTGGTGATGTCGACTACGATGCCGGCGAAACGTTTGTGAATGTACCAAGTCCACTGTCTGATTCTGGAAATCATGACAACTACTATAAAAGATGACTTCGGACTAGGTGCGTTCTACTAAATCGCCCTAAAAACAAGACCAAGTTGCGACAACGAGGTCAACCCACTTCCATATTACTTATGTTTTTATTGAATAGGCTACTATACTGTCAACAAATCTTGAATATAAACTTAACTCATCCTAGGTGTGATCATTTTCGCAATTCGGTCATGTTGTCAGAGCGACTTAGTTAGACGTACCATGCCCGAAGTATTCTGCCATAGTATTTTTCGCATTTGAGTATTGTTTCGAGACTACCCTTAAATCAGTAATATGAGATGTATTCACACAATTTCGTTTAGGGTGATGAAGGACTGGTAGAAGAATTTTCCCACAAAGTTATGAGTAGAGCCGACGTTTGCATTGAATTTTACATAGCCTTGCTTTCCCAAAAGTTATTCTCATCCAGGCTCAAGTGGACTGCAGTTTCGACCTCGCATCGGTCTTATCAACGCCTCCAGCGGAAATCGAACCGTGACAATGCAGGATGGGAGCTTGAGACGCTAACCACTCGGCTTAATTTATATATTTTTCGTATTAGAGTAGAGTTCCGAGACTACCAGTAAATCAGTGATATGAGATGTATTCACTCTATTTCGTTTAAGGTGAATGAATACATCTCATATTGCTGATTTACTGGTAGTCTCAAAACTCTACTCAAATACGAAAAATAATTAACGTAGTCGATTGTTATAGCAAATATACGTTTGTTTCATCGACAATCCCACCAAAGAATATGATATTGCAAAAGTCCTGGTCTTCCTTGAAATTCACATCTGCCCTGTGACCCAAGGGCACTCGTGGCAATGTGGTCGAGTGGTTAATACGTCAAGTGCTCATTCTACACTTTCACGGTTCGACTCCTGCTGGGCGTGTTAATAGGACCGATGCGAGGTCGAAACTGCAGTCCACTCCTGCCTAGATGAGAACAACTTTTGGAAGAGCAAGGCTATGTGAAATTCAATGGAAACGTCAGCTCTACTCCTATAATTATGGAAAAATTATTCTGCCATAGTAGTTATCATATTTCCAAACGTCGGACTGTGGACTTGGTACATTCTCAGACGTTTCTCCCATAGAAATTGGCATGACCTTCCATTTGAAAGGAAAGTTGAATGGAAGGAATTCGTGATGTGATCCCACCGGAAACCGAAAGAGGATCGCCGCGTAAGGGAGACTGTTGTATTTTGCGAAGAAGTCCTCTGCTCACCGTCCTTCGACCCCAATGAAACTGTGCTACGCTTTCGTCTGTACCACAGTGACGGGCATCATCAGAACAGGAATCCGTACTTCACGAAATAGAGCAAAATATATTAAATCAAATGTAAAAGGTGGCCGGCTGCAACCTTCGGTTTCCGGTGAGGCCATATCACGAACTACTTCCAAACAATTTTGTCTTGGAAATGGAAAGTTACGTCACAATATACCAATAAGGCATTCTTCGAAACCCAGTTTTTATTCATAATTTTTCTGATATATCCACATAAATGGTAAAGCTATTCGGATCTTCTACGACACTATTGGCTAGCTATATATCTATCCAAATAGTTCTGCCTATGCAATCATTTCTTAATTTATATTTAACTAGTTATTGAGCAATTCTTTTATTAATGTATACCAGCCATGAGATTTTTATTTTGTAACTAAAGTGCCTAAATTTCAGGCTGTTATGTATACATGTATGCGTATAATTTGTTGACATTATTTTTGCATTCATGTGCATTAGCCAAAAAAAGGGTTTTCAGATCTCTGCAGTCAAGGCAGAGTTTCAAAGTTGTTTTTTTCACTTTTATTTGCTTCTATAACCTAATATTTTCTTCTCCTGATGACTATAACTGCATCCAATTAGGTTTCGCGATCGTTTAAGCCAAGGCTCAAATAACATGTTGCCAATTTTGACTAGTCGCATTCAGGCGCCCTTCCTATCGTCTATTCTCTGTCATACTTCTCGACAAATTCTTCTCTTGATATCTCGGTCACCATGGCATGAAGTATATTTAAAGTTCTTAGAGTGCCCAACTCGAAGGCTGTCACCATGCCGAAAAATTTGGCCAAGCAACATACTTGGATAAAGTAGATCATGGTGTAGAAGCTTGGCATCTTGGCTTCTGAGCCTCTTTCATTTGATTATAAAACTATAAGACACATGTTACAGTTTATGAGGAGAGTTTAGGGGCTTAACTTCATTTGATCTTGGAGATCGCAAATCTTGCTTCTCCAATGACTATATCTTGGCTAAAAGTATGTTAACACATCGTTAGAGTGCATTTTATAAAAAAGCGGTTCATCTATGCTCAGAAGATGGAAGCTGACTTCCCTCTCCCACTTCTCCTTACTTACGAAGTTCATTAGCACAGTGGGTCAGAGCCTAAGAGCCAAATAAGCTTATCGGTTGCCTGTTTTGCCATCCATTTTTTAACGAAAAGAACCAAAATTTTCTTTGCCGCTTTTTATATTTTGTTTTATAATGCCCAAGTGTGAAGAGGTATTAATGTGCCAACGCTTCTTTTACAAACTATAGTATCGGCTTTTTTATCTATATTTACTCTTTGCATATCTGCAACGTGAATTCATTCTTTTACATAAATTAATATTTAGCACATATAAAGGTTTTTACAAAGT